TGCCTTCGCAGTATGCCACCCTCCTTACCTCTGTAGCAGGCGGTCTGGAATACCGAGAGCAGCTGCAGTTGTAGGCGTGTAGCACTACCATGCCAGATTGTAAACTGTGAAGTCCGTAATCTTTAGCATCAAGCCCTTCCTTCACTAATTCTTTCTTGGACAACGCGATAGCACGGCTGTATGTCATAGGTGTGCTCAGAAGTATCTGACCATATTTGATACTCTGGATACGCCTCCAAATGGAGGTTCCTGGCTTCCAAATATGATTTATACATAAACTGTAAAAATTAACTCTATGCGTTGTATGGTTGCGGGTGACGCTGCAGCAGCTCCGAGCGGTGTGTGAGAAGTGTTATTTTCCGCTGGCTGAGGTATGACAGGCCTTAAAATATCGGTCGGTCACGGACATTGTCCGACCCATTCATGAAATTGTCCGACGTAGAAAGGAAACCACCGGACATTCTGTCCGACCAAAGTGAAACTGAGGTTTATTGTTTGTCCGACCCGAGTGTGTTGGTGTCCGACCGAACTGTAGCTTTATCCGACGTAAATCAAAATGTATACACTAGCCCAGGACTAGAGGTTTGTATGTTAAATGGAAAATCAGAGTACTATATTGTATAAAAGGTGAACTGGAAATGTTGTTTTAACGTAGTCGAGCGCGGGGCGGCGAGCGAAATGGAAAACCGGCTTAAGTTGTCGAAGTCTTTTTTAATACTGCTGTTCTGGCAAGCAACTTAATTTTGGCTTGGAAATAAGTATGAAAGAAACAAAGTATTTAATATCTTTGCAACATTTACCGTTTATCCATTTGTGTCGGCATTCAGACTTATTTCCGAGTCAAAACTGAACTGAAGGTCATCGGACATATGTCCGACCCAAACTCAACGTCACCAGACATTTTGTCAGACGGCCCTGGAAAAGATATTTTAAGGCCTGATTAAAAACAATAGATAATCATGATATTTGCTGTGTTGGTGTAATGTACTCAGGTGAATATGATGCTTGTGATGTTACTCTGAGTGTATATCCACACCGGGCAAGCTTGAAAAATATGCCTGACCACGGTGGGAATCCAACCTAGACTCAATTCCAAAACAACGCATACTCGAACCGACCTGACCGCGTAGCTTGGCAGAGCATTGGGCTAGTATTCTAAAGGTCGTAGGTTCAATTCCCATCGTGGCCAGGCATATTTTTCAAGCCTGCCCGGTGTGGATGTACACTCAGAGTAACATCACAAGCAAATAGATAATCAGCTGGTATTGTTCCTAATGCGTTCGGCACGTGAGAAGCGCGCCGTTTGAAACGGGCCTTATTACTTTCAATTTATTTATGGTGGAATTTCAGTGTATAGGCTATAGCAATTTAATATAATTATGAAACAAGCAAAAGATTATAAACCATCAAATACAATATAATATAATTTAACATATAACATACCCCAGAGTAATCAACAAATAACAAAATGTCATCCATAACTAAGGATCCAATTCCAAGACAGCGACAGTAGATAGTACGCGAGACCGTTTCTGCGTGGGCGTGCTCCGTGTCGTGTTTCCTGGATTGCGTGCTGCACGCGGAGATTGAAATGAAATCCTTTTACCAGTCTGTCGTGCTGTAGCTTGGTTTAAACGATTGCTGGCAAGGTTAGATAGTCTGCTTTGCATTTCTTGTGTCCGCTAAAGAAGGTCATGTATTAACAGTGTGAGATGCTAATCGAAACGAACTTACGTTTACTTTATATTCTAACAGTAAGGATCATCTCTTATTGATCCAGTGTTACTACAGGAGGAAACCTAACCTAAACTAACTTTATGATAGTTCTATCAGTTCTAAACTGTTCTTCCTAGAGGTCCAGTAAGGATCATCTCTTATTGATCCAGTGTTACTACAGGAGAAAACCTAAACTAAACTAACTTTATTTATACTGGATAGCTCTATCAGTTCTAAACTGTTCTTCCTAGAGGTCCAGTAAGGATCATCTCTTATTGATCCAGTGTTACTACAAGAGGAAACCTAAACTAAACTAACTTTATTTATACTGGATAGCTCTATCAGTTCTAAACTGTTCTTCCTAGAGGTCCAGTAAGAATCATCTCGTATTGATCCTGTGTAACAACAGCAGGAAACCTAAACTAAACTAACTTTATTTACACTGGATAGCTCTATCAGTTCTAAACTGTTCTTCCTGGAGGTCCAGCAAGGATCATCTCTTATTGATCCAGTGTTACTACAGGAGGAAACCTATACTAAACTGACTTTATTATATTTATACTGGATAGCTCTATCACTTCTAAACTGTTCTTCCTAGAGGTCCAGTAAGGATCATCTCTTATTGATCCAGTGTTACTACAGGAGGAAACTTAAACTAAACTAACTTTATTTATACCGGCTCTATCAGTTTTAAAGGTCCAGCAAGGATCATCTCGTAATAAGAGGTCAACTCTTAATAATCTCACCTGTGGCGCTTGAAACTTTCTTTTGTTGCCACGCGATCCCGGGTTGTTTTTGAGTGTTTTTGATATAAAAAACTTGAAAAGATTGGACTTCATGAAGAAAGGATTATAAACATCGTGGACTGGTAACTGAAAATATAGAAAAAAAATCTGGAATGGCACAAACAAAATGAGTACAGACTGCAACAAAAGCCAATTTCAACATAATGTCACGTAAACTAGAGGACACTTAGAGAAGGCATGTACCAATGCTAATAGTATGGTATGGTATGTCATGGTATGGTATAGTGTGGTATGGTATGGTATGGTATGTCATGGTATGGTATGGTATGGTATGTCATGGTATGGTATAGTGTGGTATGGTATGGTATGGTATGGTATGGTATGTCATGGTATGGTATGGTATGGTATGGTATGGTATGGTATGGTATGGTATGATATGGTATGATATGGTATGGTATGTCATGGTATGGTATGGTATGGTATGGTATGGTATGGTATGATATGGTATGGTATGGTAT